GTAATTATTAGGTAGTATTAATTTGCATTTAGGATAGCAATAGCCTACTTTGTAAAGATACTTGATGTACTGACTACTAAACAAATGTTTAATAAAATGTCGCGCATCTAATGCCCTTAGCCAATTTAAAAAAAAAAAAAAAAAATTATTTTTGTCAAATATTATATGTTATATTTTTTTTTGCCAAATTATATGTATTATTTAAGTGTCAAATAACATAAATTGGATCAAACAACAAAACTTCAATATGAACTTCTATTAATAAATTTGAATTCAATTAGCTGTAATTTGGCAGCTAAATAATTTAATTTGAACTAATGCTAAAGATCAATAATAATGACAAAAAAACATTCTAAAATAATTTATTAGAGATTTGGAATAAAACATCTGAAAAAACTTGTAAGAAATATATAGAAACAATACTTAAAAAAATTAATAATATTATTAAGACAAAAGGTAATTATATAAGATGATAATAGAAATCAAATATATTTTTATAATTATGTATTTTTTATAAATGGGTAATTATTTTTGAAGGCAGACTGGAAATTTTCTGGTGTGATTCTAAAATTTATATTATATATGTATTGTTTAAAAGTTGGATCAGAAAAAATCACATCTAGCATTTTTGTGGTCTTCAAAAATAATGACCCAAATAAATAAAATTTATTATTTTTTTTAAAAAACTCCAAAAATATTGCAACAGTAAATTTTTTTATCTATTTAAACTTATACATTATTTAAGCATACTTATATTTTGTCTATATTATAAATTTCATCATAATCTGATTTAATCTACTTTAAATTTTAGCATTTAAAGATCGCCGATCAGGTGTTGCGTTCTTTTTGGGAGACAGTGTACGTGTATTAATGTTTTTAATTTTTTCTGGCAACTTCTAGCAGATGTTAGAAATTTTGACGTGAGCCAGCTTCCAGCTGATTTGTGGATTCCGTATATACCTTGAGATTTAATCAAAGTGGGGGTGTAGGTAACATTTCTACTATATAAAGGGCGAAAAAAATATTGATCTGTCCTTTCTATTCGTTTCATAGCAATATTTGCGACTTAAGAAACGAAATTTAATAATCCCACCTTCTCATGTCTATGACATTCGAAGCCAGCAACGGTTGTATAGAAGAATACTCTCATCGACAATAAACAAAGTGCAGTGAATTAGCGAGATATACAAATAAAACACGAAAATAAACCCGTTTCACGCAAATTAAGTATATATTTAATTACATTATATGCTGACTAACCCCGCACTCGTGTATATATGCTAATGAACATTTTCCGGTTATAGATGACATCGCTTATTGTTTCGAGGATCGCTCCATTCTTGGACTTCGCCGGCCTATTGATATTCGTGGAGAAAATATCAATTTACTTGATCGCTGGTGCCACGGTTTATTTTTTACGTACCACGAAGAAAGACATCATCGACACCAAGGATAATTCCGAACTTAATACCGATCTTTCTGCGCGTAACACTATGTTTAATGAAATTGCGTCCAAATTCGAAGCAATCGAGGGATCTATTGTATCACTCCAAAACGATTCGAAACAACTTACCGGATCAACAAAATGATGGCAATCAACAAGATGATGGTAATCATTCCGAAACTTCCTCCAGTTCGAGCCAGCGTTCATTTTCCGATATAACTTCAGAAATCTGGATATAATTATGGCAGAAAGGAGATGTTCTTTTGATGATATGTGTAATGTGGCATTGTAGATAAATAAGTACTTGGGTCGATAGTAAAACAGTACGTGATTAGCGGGAAAGGAACTGCCATTATATGGGTTAGGACTCGGCAGGCTTAACAAGCAGGCGTGTTCTTTATGCCTTTTCTCCCTTGAAACATCCTGCTACTCGATCATTTCAGAACACAATTGCGAGAGATAAACAAACAAGGCACGGAAGAAGAAAAGAAAAATGCAATACGCCTCGAAAGTCAATTTAACGTCAGTATATCTTCATTTAACTGCAGAATAGTTTGTCACATTCAGTAGCCACCCACTTCTTTCGCCTCCATACTTCGTCTCCAATACTACAGCTACCCATGGAAATTCGTCTTCGCATGGTTATGGACTTCGCCTCCGCTGTAGTCAGCTTGTGACTTTCTATTCTGCGACTTTCTAATTTGCAATTTTTGGATAACCTTTATTAATATATATATATTATATCTTTGTAAGACCGATTCTAGGAAACCGGGATCAATCGACAATTTATGGTTGAAGTATAATGACGATATCAATTTTACGAAACATGAAAAGATGAAGTTCAGCAGTACATTTTTATCTTGCGATGGAGTACAGGTTGGTTGCATTGGCAATAATGTTCAAAAAAAGACCCAAACGAGATTATAGACTCCATGAACAACCGAGTGTTGAAGAAGAAACATCAGCAATACCAACGAAAAGGGTACAGTAATTCTTCAATGGCTTTAAGCAACTGATAACTTATTGGCGTGTTCTGTAATTTAGACGAAATTAGATGAAAAATTTAACGCAACGAAGTCTTCCTCTGAGCTTCTTCCCTCTACGAACGTACAACAAACATCCAATATTCCCAATTCTAATGATGTGAAAACTAAAGAGCTTGAGGCCGATGAAGAAATTAAATTTGATCTAGTGAACGTTTCAATGGAACTAAATCGCGAACCAACAGTTAAAGTATGTCAAATGTCAAATACTGATTTCTTTATTTCGGGTATCTCATAGCTTGCTTCTGTTTTTTAGTGGGAAGTTGGCTGTATTAGATTTTGGCAATATCAGAAAGATGTTTTCCAGAAGGTGGTGAGACAGGGCTTAAAATATGAGAATATTTTCGAACTCTTGTAAATATTTGAAATATGCAACATTTGACTAGTACAGCTATCCTATCAGGGTATATTAAGATCTTTTTTCCTCGTTGCATTTAGAGCTTTGTCATCAATTATGGTGCTCTGTTGGCCATGTCCGTACCCCATGTTCACTAATCAAGAATGGAAAGAGATAACGAAAACCAATCCTTATACTATAAGCGAACACCGCTTCCACCGGAGATTTCATCTTCTCTCCGTGATACAGCTAGTAAACAATTGGTTGGCGGTGATGTTTTCATGGATTGCGGAAACGCGGGGTTGAATAGGATGATTGCACTCATGTTTAACGACCTGTAGGTTTACCCGTTCTATAATATGTTATTTATCATTCATGAATTTGTGATTACGTACATAAATTCTTTCAACGCATTACAGATATTATAATATCCCAGAGGTTGTTCCGTCGAAGTTGTCCGAGGAAGAGCACTGTGATATGTTCATTTATCCAATTACTCGTTCGTTTCGTGGATCCGAAAAAGAATATGAACTTCGACTAAATCGTGCCAATGCAGGCTCAAAGACGAGACCGGATCTTTCTTGTATAGTGAATGATGTACCAATCTTAAATCCAGATTTTAAGCCACTGGATTGCACACCATTACAACGGAAAAGGATAGATTGAAAGTTCAGTTAAAAGCTCGGAAATCAATTAATCAGCAATTACAAAGTAAGGGAGGTCCAGGTGAATCCGTCATGTTTCTAAACATGGATATGTATGCTTGCAATAAATTACAAGGGAGTTTATTGTTTTTTATAACATACTTCTACAACAACCAGGTGATTCAATGGAATAATTTTTTATGGATCTAAAGTACGATGGGTTGTACCGCTCCTGGTCATTTGTCACCACCAAACTACGTAGTAGTCGACAAGGCTACAATCCCATTAGCAGAGTTCGCAATCAGCCATTTTGTGGCTTTGGAGGTATGATATATTTTCTTTGAGTTTATAATGAGTTATTTTCTCACAATTTTCATTTACTCAGGAATGTGTTGAAAAGATTGCGAAAGACTTCAAATATCGGAGTAGTCAATTCACTCCACCTGCACTGATGTCCTTTGTGGCAAGTAAAGATGTTATTTCAATAAGATCAATTTATAATAATCAATAAAACAATGACTGTTTATACAATCGCGCAATAAAGTGATTTTTATATCAATTGTTTTTTTGCTTTTTGATTTTTACGTGAATTCGTTGAGCAAGATTTTTAATCGACTCGAGACCACGCAAAATCTATAATAATCAGATAGCTAATTCTTTTATTCAAAATATTACGAGTTCCATCTGATCGCCCACCAATATGACTATTTTTTATTTATGTTTTTTTTAACGGGATTACTAGCATTGAATTCAACGCGTCTACTCATGAGTACCAATACGAGCTTGTCATGAAATCAGCTTTAAGGGATTTAAAAAAGATATTTATAATGCAATTGAACTGAAAAACATTCGAATATATCTCAATGTTTATTGCGCTACATACCCCCAATGATATTTTATTTTGAATAGTTACATTTTAAAAATAATGACAAATACACAGTCTAAAATCGATTCATTAGAGGAACAGATTTCCAAGCTCATATCTGAGAATGCTGAACTTAAAAGAGAGAAGGCTGAATTCTCGGCTAAGGAAGCAGAGTTTATAGCTAGAATTGCGGAATTAGAACGGAGCGCAAAAGAAAGTGCTAATAATGAGAAGCGAAGTCAGATAGAAAATTCTAAACTTAAGGGTAGTGTAACGAAACTAGAATTTGATATCAGGGAGATTAAACAGAAACAAATTATACCTATTGAAAACCATCTCGATATAAAGAATGCACAGATTACTGAATCAATTTCTAATGATTTATCTATTTCTCCTAAATTAAATTCTGATGAACATCAAGAAAAGACAGAATCACGAGTCTCCAATTCATATTCGACTAAATTATCCATATGCGTAAAGTCTAAATCATCAGAAGATAAGGAAATGGATGATTTTCTAATTCGTAAAAAAAAGGAAACAGTTAGTAATTTGATGAGGGATGGAAATAGAGAAAAGAAGCTTCAACGTACCATTTCTTCTGAAATTTCCCAAAATACTATAACCCATAGCCAAAAAATAATTCAATCGGAACCTGAAACTTTTAATGAATCGGAGAAAATAACCATATCGGATGCAAAGAAAATTCCCTATAACGAAAAAGTGGAGCATGGTTTAAGGTTGAATTATCCATTTGGATCAAAAACGATATTAACAAAACTAATGATATAATTGATATAAAGATTTCCGAATTATCTACAGAAGCAATTCTAAGAGGATCTAGTGAGGTTACAGCGGAAAGTACAGCTGATTTATTTAACATTGCTATGAAGACTAGACAAAAGGAGATTTTATACTGGTACTGTTATTATAAAGTTTACGAGGATAGAATTAGAAATATTAGAACTATAGATAAGATTGATGACAAATCTGCAAGAACACTAGTATATAATGAAATAAAATCACTTTTACCTGATATTACTGATATGAACTTGCGTAAAATAACTTTCAGAGCTAAAAGAGTTTAATATTGTTTGAAGGTATGGGAATAGATAAAATTAGCCAGGTATCTTACAGTGCAAGCGCTATTTCAAGTTTAAAGGACATTCAAATTCAAAATATAATAAGCGATTTTTCTAGCTAAAAAGTAATTGCCTCTGGCAAGTCAACTACTATGAATGAAAATCGAAAAGTAATCTCCGTTCCAAATTGGAACGCACATGTGGCTGAACAAACTTTACCAAAAATCGAGGTAGATATTACAACTACTCCTTCTATACAGATATCACATACCTCTAACCACGAAGTGACTGCCTCCGGCAATTCGATTGATGAGATAAGCGAGAAAGACAAGTCTTTACAAGAAACTATAATAAGTGTAACACCTGAAAGGGTTTCGCCCATAACATCTAGCTACCTTGTGACTGCCTCTGGCAATAAATCCCGACCTTCGATTTCTATCTTACCCGATGATCCAGAAGAAAAGCGAAAATCAGTTATTAACAAAGTACTAGAACGATTTCCTGATTACTTTGACTGTTCAACGATTTGTCCTATATGTAATAACGATCATAAAAAAGAAAACATAAGAGATAATATACAGGATTTATGGGGTAGTGGTAATTATGTCAATACAGAAACTTATCGTATTGAATGTTATAAAATTATCAAAATTTAATCCAAATAGTAACGGTAAAAGTATAGTAATTATTTTTCGGACTTATCTATTGTTGATTTAATATTATATACAGTAGTCACAGAAAAGATCCAGACTTTTCTTGTGACTAATAAAAAACTTGTAAAATAGATTTTATTTGTGTAAAAATTTGTGAAAATAATGACAATCATCATAAAAAAAAAACATACATAAATATCAATAGTCAGATTTTTTTTTTCTCTCTCAATCACTTGTTCAAGATGGTTTTTCATACTACCTGCTAAATTAAGGTAGAGGTCTTGATCTAAATCATCCCATTCTTTTTGAATAATTGACTGAAAATCAGTAGTGCTAAGTTTTTTTTTTATGAGTCTATTATTTATGGTTTTCTCTACTCTATTTTTTAGTACAGCCCATAGGTTTTCTATGGGATTCAGATCAGGCAAATTCGAAGGCCAGTCAAGCATTCAAACATAGTAATCTTCAAAAAGTTGATGTGTAACCTGAGTTGTATGGACAGGAGAGTTGTGCTACTGGAAATGCCAGCCATGATCTGCTTGCAAAGTATTAGGAAAAAAATAGGTTTTAAGAATTTTATAGTATCTTTGTGAGTTAAGGTTTTCTGTAAATAAAACTAGTGCAATCGGTCCCTATACATAAAATACTTTTTATGCATGAATTTTGAATGGGTGTTTTATTATGCTACAGTACAGATACAGGCTTCCACAACAGTACCTTACTTGTTATGTGTTTCTGAACATTTGTAATATTGTTTCATCAGAAAAAATCATGTTAGACCACCTGTCTTGCACATGTTTATGGGTCTAGTCAAGACAAGCAGCAATATGGAAGAGTTGGAGAAGGGGAACACATAACAATCAGCAAACAATATATTGGAAATCCTTTTTAAGAACTTCTTGAATAGTACTAATTGATATATTTAAGTTGGGATGAGTTTCATTAAGTCTGACAACCACTTCAGTAGCAGTAACCATATTATTAGCTTGTATAAGTTGCTTGAGATGATGATATTCTTTCAACATAAGAATTTTGGATCTTTTAGAAATGGAAAATGGAACAAAAATGCTTTTTTTTTAAATTAATTTACATAATCATATGTTGTGCTCTTTGAAAAACCTATAATTCATATGATTTCGACAGGTTTCCTTATGTCATTATTCCATAACTGCCTTACGACTATTCTTTATGCAGTGAGATTAGTGTTGAACAATATTATTTATATCTAGTACTGATTTGACAGCTTAAAATAGTTGAGTTATTTATATATACCAGTATGCATAAGTTATTTAATATAAATAACTTATTCCAAAAATGAACTTATCCAGAATTTGATTGTTATTATACTTTTTTGTATAATGAAACAAAAGTTTGAATCTTTTCTGTATTCACTGTAATTGGATTTATTAGTATATTTTTTATACTCTTATTTGTTAAAATACATATATCATCTAAAAAAAAAATAGTTTGAGAATCAAATCTGAATTAAAATTGAATCCAGTTATTCTAGAGTATAAAATTATTAATTAAATAGGTTTAAATTCTTAAGTATAATATAATTATATATAACTTCCATAAACATTACAAATAATAAGTCATATAAAATTGTTGGCTTAAATAAACAATTGTATTGATGCTGAATGAAATAAATATATAAATTTCATAATAATGAAACTCCTAATGAGTAAATAAAATAAATTTGGATAGGAATGAAGAAGCATTGAGCTTCTTATTGTACAGAAAATATCTTTTGTAATATAAGTTATTAAGAATATATAAAAATTAAGCAAAAATCTAATAATGTATATAATTACTGTATAAAAATATTCATGCATTATATTGATATGAATTATAAATATCCAATATTATTAATAAAGTTAAGCGTGCAAAAGAAGTTGAAAAAAAATTCAAACATGTATGTTTACAAAACATTAAAGCAAAAATATATCAAATCAACAATACATAGATTCTTAATATTAATAAAATAATTTATTACTTATACTAATATAATAACATATAACTTATCATGACCTGTGGGTCTATAGTACAGTGGTTAGTGCTTCACAAGTCAGATCACAAGATAATGGTTCAAATCCTCCAGAGGGCTAACATGGAAACCTAAAACCGGAAAAAATGGATTGACATCTTCTGATTACCGTCACAAGATACCAAGTTCAGTTCCAGATGAAGGCAATTGGACCGTCTCAAGATGATATCTGGCACCATAACCTAACATGCGCTGTTTCCTATAAGAAGCCAATTCACACGTTGA